TCCTTCCACCAAGGAACTTAGGGAACCATACATGGCCCCACTGGTTATTTTATCCTTACAACAATATTAAGAGACAGGATAAGGAGAAAGACTGCTTGCCCCAAGGTCACTCATAGTGCAATCATATGCTAATTTACTCCAATCTAAACCCATTGATTTCAGTGGGTTTAGGCCAGAGTAACTCTGTAGGATTGCCCTGCTAATGAGCTTCATGATAAAGCAGGGATTTGAACTAGATCCTCACCTGACATTCTGACTGCTACGCAGCACCACAATAGCGTTGGAAAACCTGAAAAACTTTTAAATCTTCCTTGTGCTCTAGGATATCCACCTCTGTTTTAATTTGCTACTAACATTAAGCTAAATGGTTGGCATTAACAATCCTTTAAAAAAACCAAAACAACAAGCATTACCAATGCAGTGAGAAATTACATGAGGAAATACACAAAAATGCCATTCCATTTTCACTGGAGGGCACAAGATATTAGCCAGATGTGTCATAACAAACATATCTTGTCTTGTGTTAAAAGGTCCACATGAACCACATGTCTGTTTCTAGACACAAGTTGGCCTGTAAAGCCTCAAGTAGCCTGGGTCTCCCACTGTATCTTCCCCAAACAATTTTTCTAGCTCACTCAGATCATCATCAGGGCCAAGATCTTGGGTCTATTCTGCTATTTTGTTTGGTAGGTGGTAGCTGGCCATTTTTGGTGGTAGTACCATGCCTTTGGAACACTTTCCCTGGCAATGACCCCTGGGCACTGACTTTTTGTAATGTAAGAGTCAAGTGAAAACTATTTTGTTCTCTTGGGCCTTTTGATAAGTGTAAAGGGTTTTGTGTTTTGTTGTTGTTACTGCTGTTTTGGGTATGTGTGGTCTTGAATTTCTGGTTTACTGTTAATTAATTCTTAATTGTTTTATTCTAAATGCTTATAAGCTGTTTTAGATACTATATATGTGTAACAGGGCATAAATAATTTAAAATAAATATGAATTTAAAATATAAATAGCTTTAACTTTTTCCATGATGGCCACAGATATCTTTTACTTTTCCATATAATTAGTGAATCAAAAAATGTAGTTTCTGGTGTTGTATCCTACAAATTTGGATCTTTGAGGCACCTGAGCAGAGGCATAAATCTTGGGTACCGATATCACTCTGCATAACTGCATCAATGCTGCTTATGCTGGGTTCTGAGATCCTGTTCCTGGATACACTGGCTTGAAACCAAAGTAGCTTGAAACTAAAGTAGCATCAAGTTGCTTCCCCTCACTTAAGGGGCTTTTCTCTTCCCCCTGCAAGCAGAGCTCCCCTGTACCCTCTGAAAGCTGAAGGACCCTCCAGTAGGGCTTTTTAGGGGCACAAGGGGATGAAGCAGGGGAAGGGGAACCTCCATGTGCATGAAAGTGCTTTCCATTCGTATGGGAGAAAGGTTGGGTCCGAGCCCATGTTTTGTTATAATACCTTGCCACTTCACATGGGGGTACATGAACATTACAATAAACTTACAGTGCAATCCTATGTAGAGTTGCTCCCCTCGAAACACATTGACTTCAATGGGCTTAGACTGAAGTAACTCTTCATAGGATTGTACTGTTGGTGGCTGAGGCGTGGTTGCCTGCTGGCAGTTGCTGTAAGAGACTGAGGAAGAGAGAAATGTGAGGGCAATAGTAATGAGATTAGAACATACCAAAGCAGAGCAGAAGCAGAGAATGAATTTATACTCTGCTCCTCACTCGGAGTCTCAGAGCGGCTTACAAACTCCTTCTCCTCCCCAGAACAGACACCCTGTTAGGTAGGTGGGACCAAGAGAGCTCTTTCCAGAACTGTCCTTGAGAGAACAGCTCTGGCAGAACTATGGCTTGCCCAAGGCCATCCAGCAGCTGCAAGCAAAGAAGTGGGGAATCAAATCCAGTTCTCCCAGACTAGAGTCCATGCACTTGACCACTACACCAAACTGGCTTGGAGGACTAGTTGAAAAATATAAGTAAATCCATTATGGTCCTTTAAATAACAGGTTTGTTTATCTGCAGTGTATATACAGATTCATGATAACAGCACAGAGATGTTGCAAAAGTCTGCAGTATTTTTTAGCATCTTGACACCCACCAAGTGCAGAGATGCACCAAAAGATACATTCTGATGCTGTTTTTTAGTGTTCTACTTGATTAAACTGATGTCACAGCACCTAGTTTCATACAGAGCCAGCAGCTGTGCATTTCATAACCATCTCTTGAACAGATTAGCATGTATAATAGCTGTATATCTGGGGTACATGTTAGCAGAGTAAATCTGTCTTCGGGTTCTTCTGACATTTACAAACTTTTTAAATTTCCTACACACACACACACACACACAC